GGCTTCAGGCCCTGGGCATCCAGTTTGGAGGTGCTGGGGCCAAGGTCTGAACCAGTGCCATGGCATCAGTCACCACACTCTGCTGAGGAGCCAGAGTGAAGGAAGCAGAAACCCTCCAGCCAGAGGAGATCACGGAGAGGCTGTGCCGAAGGACCAACTCCAAATTTTTTTCTCCCCAAACATTACAGAGTAGAATGAAACCTATAGCCAGCTTGGTTCAGTGGTCCAGCTCAGATCCAAACTGAGCTGTTTTGGGTCAGAAGAAAACACAGTTGAGATTCTCATAAATAACTCTCTCAAGTTCTGGGTCCTTCTCAACCTTTACTATCTGTGTCACCTTAAGCAGTTACTTCCTGCCACTGGTGATGGTACAATCTCATGGGGCCGTGAGAATTAAAGTATGCACAAACGCCTCACTTATAGCAGGTGTCCAGTAAGTGTTCACTTCCCCCTACCCCCTTTAATTTAAGAACACCAAGGGCAGACGGAGATAGAGAGATCCCTTTCCCTCCCATGCCCAGGCAATGCTGACCTACTTTTTGGCACAGAATCAAATCAGTTTCTGTAAGGAGATGACCAAAAACCAAACTCACTGCCATTGAGTTGGATCTGACTCGTAGCAACCCTTCCTTGGGTTTCTGAGCAATATCACTACGGAAGGAGATTGCCCAATCTTCCTTCCGAGTGGATTTGAACCGCCAGCCTTCTGGTTAGCGGTCAAATGCCTTAAGCATTATGCCACCAGAGTTCCCAAAAGGAGACAAGGAAGGTCCTAAAATGAATGATTTATTTAATCAATTAAAAATAAATTGATTCTAATCAATCCCTATCAATCAGGAATTAGTTAGTATGCATCTAGGATGTGCAAAAACAAACAGGTAAGGTGTGTGCTGGGAGCAGTGAAACGAGAAAGATACAGGCCTGGCCCTCACTCACATCCCAGGTCTTTCACACTTGATGTTTACAGGTAAATTCTTGACCTCATGGGATAAGGGAACCAAACAGCCACTATCACAGATTAGCACACGTTAAAGAACAAGCCCTTCCCTCCTATGTTCTGGTGAAGGGCTGGCTAGATGCTTGTCCTTTGCCTCCTGCAGGAGCATGAGGCCGGGGAAAAGCTTCTTCCAGCTGAGCTCTGATTGGACTGATCGGGAGAATGGCAGTTCCCTCCACCACAGACCAAGAGCCTCATGCCAACTCTCCCTGAGGCCCAGAAGGGCAGATATGACAGAGGTCTAGAGACCCTTGGTCCATCAGAGCTCAGGCTTTTCCCATCAAAGATCTCTTTATTACTCCTCCTTCCTGTAGACTCTATGGATTGAAAGTTTGTCAACTAAGTTCTAAGTATGGATTATGTTGTAACCTGTTGAGAAAAATTAACCAAACACAAACTAGCCTCTGATCAACAAGAAATGTTGCCAGAATGAGGTGATTCAGTTCCAGCCCAAAGCCAAGAAGTCTATTATTCTAAGTAATCTGTACAGTTTATTGCAGTTGAACGTAGGACTGCTGTGATTCCGAAAAAAATGTCAAAGAGCCTTCGTGCTTCCAAGGAGCCACAATAATTGCAAAATGAGACCATTCACCTGATCCAAGCCATTCATTTTTCCAGATGAGGAGAAAAGAATCCCAGAGGACCTAAGTGAGCCGCCACAGGTACTGCTGAACTGGGCAGGGGTGAGAGTAATTTCTCCCTGCTCCAGTTTGCGCCAGTCTCTATCCTGGTTGTGGACAGACTGATGGGAGCCCTGAGACTATGGCCTCAGGTTGTCCTTCAGGCCTAGAAATGGACTCACTTCCATGAATTGACTCTCAGCCCAGCAGTAGAAAGACCTACATGCAGAACACCTACCCCAGGGTGATGTACACACCTACTCTAGGGAGAAGCACCCCTTGGATCGATCAGCCATGAGACACCAGTGGGGCAGCACTCACACAAAGGGAGAGCCGGGCACACAGGCATGCAGAGATAAGCAGGGCACAGGGAGGCAGCAGTCACAGGGAGGGGAGGGGAGGGGAGGGGAGGAGAGCTTTTTATGGTTGGGGACGGTGATTGGGGTTGTGAGATGAAACATGCATGAACTGTTGAATGCAAATAAAATTCGTTTTGTAAATTTGCACCCAAAGCACACACACACAAAAATAATAATTTCTCCCTTTCGACATGAATTGCTTGAGAAAACTAAGATGCACCTGTTTTCTTTAAGAGACAATGTGCAAACCCAGCTTATTAAATCAATGTTGGCAGTTAAGGGAAATTCTATTGAAAAAAAAAATCCTTAAAAAATGTCAAACAAAGTTACTCTCTAATTGGCCTCTTTTGTCCGTTCCAGTTAGAGCTTTCTTCCTCCCTGGGGAGCACCCTGCAATGGCCCTGCCCCCCACACACACACACACTGATGGCCCTGCCCCCACCACCACCACACACACACTGATGGCCCTGGCAGGGGAGGCGGGAACACAGGGCAGAGGAAGACAGGAGTGTTTGGGCACAGAAATTACCTTCCTCATTCCCTGCTCCCTCCTCCTTCCCTCACACGCCTGATCTTGTCCCTGGAGAATCTGGTTGCGTCACTAACTTTGGAACCATGGCCCCAGAACTCCTGAGGACTTTTTACTCCCGCAGAGGGCTGGGGGTCAAGGACCTGTTCCACAGCCCGGAAGCCTAGCACCTTAGGAGAAGACTGAAGCCCAGGGAGGGAAGAGGCACCTAGTCAGAGAAGTGTCCTTGAGGACGGCCCCCTAGTAGAGGAGAGGACTGTGGCCTTCTGACCAGACAGTGCTGGTGGTGCAGAGCAGTGGGTCTGTGTGGCTGGCTGTCTCTTCAGAAGTGGCTTCAGGAACGTAGCCACTCACTGAGAGGAGAGGAGAGGGTCTCCAGTCAGTCATCAGTACCCCCCTGACTCCAGCTGGGCACACAGAGCTTGGGGTTGGGGGTAAGCTGTCAGGTTCAAAGAGGGGCTGGGGCAGAACTGGGTGCCATTGGTGGCCCAGCCATCTAAGGTTCAGGTTAAGAGTTCATAGATACGAACTCTTGCTCTGGCTCCTAAGAAGTGTGTCCTGCCCCCAAAGAAAAGGGACACAGCATTCTTGGCTCCCAAGGGAACAACCCTGCTCCGAAGCTGCCTTTGCGGGATTAAGAGTGAGGAGGATTAACCCGAGGCCCTGGCCTGGACCAGTGGGTCCCTACCTCACCCCTTGGCATCTTGACTCCACACAGTAAAACTAAACGTCACATCAGTTCCTGCTGGCTCTTCAGAAAAGAACCTCTGTCATCCTTTCAACATGCCAGGCAAGCTGTGGTGGCCCCCTTTCTACTCTCTGCTGGGAGGGCAACACCAATGAGGGAGGTGCAGGCCCGGGAAGGGTGAGAGAAACTCAGAAAGACAGAAAAAAGCTGGCTCTGTTACCCACATCCAAGCTGGCTGCCTCACTTGTAAAATACAAAAACCAAACCAAACGCACTGCTGAGTTGGATCCCACTCATAGCAACCCCTCCTTGGATTTCTGAGGCAATATTACTACAAAAGTAGATTGCTCAACCTTCCTTCCGAGGAGTGGCTGGTGGGTTGGAACCACCAGCCTTCTGATTAGCAGTCAAATGCCTTAGGCACTATGCCACCAGAGCTTCCCCACTCATAAGATAGGAAGTGATTAAAGGATAAAGCCCTAGCAGGATGCCTGATAAAGAGTTCCATAGATGACCTGTTCTCCTCTCCCTCCCCCCTGTCGAGACACCTCCCACCATTCTATCAGTGTCCAGTGTGCAACACAACACATTCCAACATAGTGCCGTGGAGTCGGATCCGATTCATAGCCACTCCTCTTTGGGTTTCCAAGGTGGTATTACTACGGAAGTAGATTGCCCAACGTCCCTTCTGAGGAGTGGGTTTGAACCGCCAGCCTTCTGGTTAGCAGTCAAATAAATGCCTTAGACCCTACCCCACCAGTGCTCCCTCAGGGTCCAGTAACTTCGAGAAATCTCTGGGTTCTGCTCTTGCGGTGCCCAGGACCAGGACACCTGACTAGTACAACAGCACCAAGAACTGGGCTGGGGAAGCCAGAAGGGAAAACCAGAATCCCGGGGGAGGGGGAGGCAGCCCTAGGAACAAAAGGCTGTTCCCAAAGTAGGAAAACACGCCCCACCCCAGCCAGGAATGGCTCCATTCAAAAGGGACCCTGAGGGCCAGAAACCCCCTGGGGAGTTTCTATGGAGGTGGGGTGGGACAAACAGCAAAGAAAGGTAGGTCAGAGGTCAAGAGAAAGTTCCCTCACCTACCTCTGATTAGCCCCACAGAGCGGGCCCAGGGGAATTCCGGCCTAGGGGCTGAGCAGGTTGGGGGCTGGCCCCAAAGCCCAGGAATACACCAAAGTGAAACTGCTCAGTCCTGGAAGCACTTGGCCAGGCCTTGCCCCAGTAACTGTACTCACCTGAATGCTCAGAAGCCCTTCCAGGCCAGAGTAAAAGTGCTGCCATTAAGAGAACAAATGTTTACAGAGCGCCTACTGTGTGCCTGGCTGCCCACACCCAGGCCTTACTAGCTAGCATCCACCATTCGGCAAAACCTGCTCGTCCTGCCTGTTGGGACAAATTCCCGGGCAGGCGGCCCGGCCCGGCCCGCGGCCCGCAGGTGAAGCGAGTGAGAGCTGGAAGAACAGCACGCTATCTGTGCTCTTCATTAGGAAGCAGTACCACCGGCAGCAGCCGGGCCAGCAGCATCCTTCAGAGGCGCCTCCAGGTGTGTCTGGGATGGCGGGGAGCCGGGTTCCCGGAGCCTCCTCCCGGGCATGTCCTTCACCTCAGGGTGCCCAGGCCCCTGTAAGAAGCCCTTTGCCAGGCCAGCATGGTTTGGGAACAGCCTCAATTGGCTTCTGCCTCGCAGACCCATAGGTTGAGGACTGCATGAGGGCTGAGAAGCAGACCCAGCCGGACCTCTGGCTCCCATCAGGACCAGAGGCCAGGAAAGGGGGAAAAGGGGAGTCGGAGCCCAACTCACCGAAAGGGGTCTCTGGAGGTGAAGTAGGCCGGGACGGACAAGTAACTCCCCATCTTCTTCCCACGCCAGATCAACAGGCTCAGCTGCAAACCCGTCTGGGAGTGCCTCAGGCTGGCTACACGCAGCCACCATGACAGGCCCGACACTCCTGGCACCTCTGGCTGTGAGCCGGCTGCCGGGAGCTCACCTCTCCCTCTGGAGCAGCCGGAGGAGTCCAAGCCACTCGTCCCCGGGCAGATGCGGGCAGAGGCTCATGGCTGGGCAGCTCCTCCCCCCCAGTTCTCCGCAGCCTGAGCGGCCCCCTGGGAGGGACTCCGGGCGCACCACCTCTCCGCCGAGGCTACACGCACACAGGCATTCTTGGGCAGGGGCCGGTGACTAGCTCAGAAAGAAGCGCTGCTGTCAAGTTAGCTTTCTTCTCCAGTCCCACCCCTGAGGGAGGGAGGAGGAAGAGGAGGGGCTCCTCGCGGAACCGAGGTGTGTGGTTGGAGCAGCTATTAGGAAACAGACCTTGCAGGCAAGGGGTGGAGCTGGGCTGGAGGGAGGTTGCAGGCAGGCGCTACAGACAATGACTGGACTAGCTCAGCGTCCATCCCGGAGCTCACCGACAGGCAGGGGAGAACAGACGGGGAGCACAGCTGCCCCGAAATGTCCCCCGCCTGATGAACAGCCCCAAAGGGCAGTAACTCTGCTCGGAGGTGTGTGTGTGTGGGGGGGGGAGCACAAAACACGAGCTCTAGGCCGAGCCACGCCCCCAGAAGGGAGGCCTCTTGGGCCGGACAAGCAGGTTCAGAGTCGCCTTTGGCTCCTGCCTTCCAGCTGACACCTGGTCTTGTCCCAGCACAACCCCATTCATCCTTTCCCTCTGCCTGGTCTAGGGACAGGCTCACGAGCCAGCCAATGGGACTCCCAGTTCCACTTCAGGGCCGGACCCACTGCAGGTGAGAAAACAAGGCCCAGAGTGTTCACTGACACCAGCCGTTTCTCCATGTGCTAGACATGGACGTGCACTCTCTTATTTCTCCAAGGTAGGCATTAGCCCCACTCTATAAATAAGGAAAGTGAGGGACAGAGAGATCAGGTAACTCCTAGGGTCAGAAAAACTAGTCTGTGGCAGGGCTGGGATCTAAACCCCAGCTGTGGGACCCCAGAGTGGCAGCTCGTGGCCGTGGGCTTCATCCTGCCTCTTCAAGGGGAGGCCACTTGCCCAAAGCCCTTCTGCAAGTAGGACAGAGCACAGGGGCAGCAGTGCACGTCACCTGTTCTCTCCCATTCATCCATTCACTTCCAGGAGGCTGTCCAGCGGCCCCAGTGGGCAGCGGTGCCTCTCTCACCATGTCCACGTATAGTCCCCACTCGAGGATACTACAAGGGCTACCCATGCTTCTCCAACTGAGAAATGGAGCAGGATGGAGGACAAGGCCCGGGGTACCTGTGGGGATGCTGGGCCTAGTACCTGGAATGCAACCAGACCAGAGCCCGCCATCGGGAAGGCCCATATTCCTGCCTACAGGACCATGATGGGAAAAGCTAGCCTGCTGGAGAAGACTGGGCACGTCCAGACCTCACTCTCTCCCACAAGAATATCGCCTCTTCAGTGTCTCTAACTGCAAACCACAGCAGAAAGTCTGGGGCTAAGGTGGTGGCTGGGCTTACAAGGGAGCCTTTTATCATTCTTCCACTACCTGGGGGCAGGGGCAACAATGAAGGTGAGGAGATTTGGTTGGCACCCTGTTAATAAGCTAGCATCTGTTGAGCGCTCAATATCTCCCATGCCCTGTTAGGTGCTCTGCATTTGTTATCTGTTATACTTAATTTGTCAGCCTACAGAGTAGTTTGAAGGAGCACTGGTGGCAATGTGGATAAGGCATTTGGCTGCTAACCAGAACGTTGCCAGTTTAAACTCACCAGCTGTTCTGCAGAAGGAAGATGAGGCAATCTACTTCCATAAAGATTTACAGCCTTGGAAACCTAATGGGGTCGCTATGAAGCAGAATCAGCTCTATGGCAGTGGGTGTTTTTGGTTTGTTTATGGAGTAGGTGCTATCATTCCCATTTAACTGATGAGAAAACTGAGTCTTGGAGGGGTTAAATCACTAGGCCAAGAACAAATAGGTGGTAAAGTGGTGGGGCTGGCTTTCAAATCCAGTAAGCCTGACTCCAGAGTAGGGGTCAGTGTACTTTCTGTAAAGGTCATATAGCAGATATTTATCCTTTGCAGGGAGTACAGTGCCTTAGTTCATCAATTCTGCTGTTGTACCATGAAAGTTGTCATAAATAAAACTTAAGCAAATGGACGTGCCTGTGTTCCAATACAGCTTTATTTATGGACACTGAAATGTGAAAGTCATGTAATTTTCATGTGTCACAAATTATTCTCTTGCTCTTTCCCCCTTACCATTTAAAAATGTAAAATTCACAGGGCCTATGAGAACAGAAGGCACTTGACTGCTCACCAGAAGGCTGGTGGTTCAAACCCACCAGCCACTCCTCGGAAGGAAGGTTGGGCAATCCTACTTCCGTAGTGATACTGCCTCGGAAACCCAAGGAGGGGTCGCTATGAGTCGGGGCCAACTCGACAGCAAACAACAACAACAACGAGAACAGACGGTGGCCACAGACTTACGACCCCTGCTCTAGAGTCAAAGCACTCAGGCACTGCTTACTTCCTCACAGTGAAGAATAGTTTTTGTCATCTATGCAGAACTCAGCTGTCCCTGTCTGACAAAAAGATCCACACTGGTCTGAGCGCTAACCCTGCTCCAGACACTTACATATATGAATGAATGTGAACCTACACAACCATATTCGTTAGACCTATGATTTCCCCCTCTTAGCAGATGAAGGAACTGCGGCACAGAGAGGTTAAATCACTTGCCTGTGGTCACCAAGCCGTCTAAGTGAGAGACGGAGCCAAAATTCGAACCCAGGCTATCTATGCTAGGTTCAACCATGCTACGCTGGAGGCCTGCCTGGCCCAGAGCCAGACTGTCTGGGTGTGAGTGCGACAATCCACTTCACGTAGAGCCCTTGGCACAGAGTCTGGAACACATTAAGGGTTGATAAATGTTGGCTGTTAATATCATTAAGTCTATTGTTACTAGACTATAGGCTAACTATGTGGCCTTCAGCAAGTCTCTGCCTCTGTCTGGGCCTTAGTTAGGTCTCTAAATACCTTCCAGCATCAACATCTTTCAGCCCTATGAGATGGCAGCAGGCTCCCTGTATTCCTTGGTTCTCAAGTTGAGTTTAAACCCCTTGAGCTGGCCCTGAGGGGATCAGGATCCTAGCCTGGGGGGGCCACACAAGAGCCACAGAGGAAGTGCGTGGTTTGGAGTAGGGCAAACACCACTCATGATACTGCAAGGGCTACCCAGATGGAGAGCAGGGAGTTCGCTTTCTCCCAGCAGGGTAACTATTTCTCACCAAAAATCTATTTTGTTCTGCTGTAATTTGATCAGGCAAGAAAGGGGCCCCAAATTACGTCTGGAACTAGCAAATTATCTGCTAATTGCATCTTCTGATTTTCATCTGATGAACAGAGTGCAGATGGAAGAAAACTCAGGCCCCAGAGTCCAGGGCCAGGGAGCCCATGAGCATAACTCCTCTTGACATTTCACACAGCTCCGCTGGAATAGCGGCGGCGCGCAGTGAGTCGGTGTCTAGGAATGCGAGCAGGAGGCTCCTCTCCCCGACACCCCCAACAAAGGACTCGGTGGGTGGGTGGGGGGAACTAGTGAGAGGACTTTTCAATGCCATGAAAACTGCCTCCCACTAGACGAGGGGGAGCTCTCTCCCCATGTAGTGAGCTGAAGCGGAAGCCCCTCCCAGGTGGAATCCATTTGACCCCCATAAATCCAGACTTCGGCAGGACCCTTTGAAGGTTTGATCACCAGATGTGATAAGCCACTGGCTGTAGACCCAACTGTGTGGTTCCTCAGGGCCAACTTCAAAGGATCCGAACCACCCAGAATTAGGAGGCAAAAGGTCACACTAGAGGATCTATTCCCCTCTTGCCCTTGGAGATGGTCCTGGCTGGAAAGCTGCTCTTCTAGGTCCCAGAGCAGCTGGCAGAGGATTTGGTAGTTACAGTGGTTCTGGTCTCAGACAGGCAGTTACGGTCAGGACAAAATGGCAGGAGAGGTGCTAGCCTCTTACTCTTTTCACAAATTGGAAACCTAGCAGGAGCTGAGCAAACTGACCCTCAGAACCAGCTGTGACACTAGCTTTCAAAGACATCTGCAGGAGACTAAAGAACATCCTTCAAGGCCTGCAGCCCCAAATGCACCACTCTGGTGAGGAGTGTTGTTGTTATGTGCCATTCAGTAAGACCCGACTCACAGCGAGCCCTCCTTGGGTTTCCAAGGCAGTATCAATATGGAAGTAGATTGCCCAACCTTCCTTCCAAGGAGTGGCTGGTGGGTTTGAACTGCCAGCCTTCTGGTTAGCAGTCAAATGCCTTAGGCACTATGCTACCAGAGCTCCTCTGGTGAGGAGTGGTGAATGACTGTCCTATCTCTCCTTAAAGGAAGGCTCTGGTCAATAAATCTGAAGCCCAATGGAACTGTGTTCATGTGGGGTCCTCTAGGGGTTGGGAGGACTGCAACTAGGGAAAGGTGAGCATGGCCACCCCCACCTGCTGGTTGTCTTTCCTGCCTCTGCTCCTTCCCTCTTCCAACTCATCTTCCCCACAACAGCATTCAGTCATATTTCTGAAATAAGGGTCCCAGCAATTCCACTAGAAATTCTGCAAGGAAAATATCCCTTTAAATGTGCAAAGACATGTGTTCAAGGATGCTCGGTGATCATGTGTCCATCAACAGAAGTGGGCTAAATACAACAACCATCCAGACAATGGAGCTGTTAAAAACAATGACAAAGAGCAAAGCATCAAGGCAGAAAGTTGTCCCAAGTAAAGTGTTAAGTGAAAAATCCAAGCTTCAGAGAAAACATACAATATCATCTCACTGTTTTAAAAGTCTATGTGTATAATCCTTACAGAACAGCTAGAAGACTATCCACCATAGTATTATCATTTTTTCCTTTAGAGTAGTGAGACAAGGAAACAGGGATGAAACAGCATTTATTTTCTACCATTTTGGCACTGTTTATATTTTTCTTAACCTTAAGTACTACACTGGGAAAATCTGCTGCTAGAGATCTCTTTAAAGATAGATAGGTAGATCCCCAGCACCTGGAACAGTGCCTGGATATAGTAGATGTGTGTGACAGTTAAGGCTGTGTGTTAACTTGGCTGGATCATGATGGTTTCACTGGAGAATTCTACCAAACATTCAGAGAAAGCTGACACCAATCCTACTCAAACTATTCCAGAACACTAAAAAGGATGGAATCCTCCCAAATTCATTTTATGAAGCAAGCATAACCTTGATACCAAAACCAGGCAAAGACATCACTCAAAAGGAAAACTACAGA